ACGATTATGCAAAACCGCCCAAATAGGTGCGGGCAGTTCGGGTTGAGCGGTTTTTGCGGATCAAATAATCCTATGCCCAACCCTGATGTATGTATCTTCATTATTTGTTTTCTTGAAATAGGAGTGTCAAAATATAGGTTTCCAGAAGAGTTTATGTACTTAATTTGTTTTTATAGTAACTTAGAATTATTCTCCAAATTGACAAGATTTTCTCTCATTTTTTTATCTTATTTCTGTGTTGTGTTGAAGAATGTGCTTTGATCTCTATTGTTTAGAAGTGGCATTTTTTAGGTTATTATTCTGCCATCAGTATCACTACTCAATGATTTAAATTTTGTACCTTTAATAAAACTAAATTATGAAATCTGATTCACACGTGGTACAAGGGTGCAAGGGATGTCCTAATGAACTCTTAGAATGGGGAAAGATGATAGAGTGAAATTGTGAAATTTACAGCCAATAAGTAGATATCAACCCTTATTTTCTATTGTCCTTCCTCTATGTAGAAACAGATAATGAAGACGAACGAAGTTAGTAGAGATCCACAAAACTAGAAAGTGAAATCTAATGGAATCTGGATAGTTATAATCTCTGGATAGTTTTTTGATGTTTAGAACCTAGATATAAATAGTTTTTGGAGGTTTAATTAGAACCAATGGATATGCTTTGATGTTTAAAACTATATTTTGGTGATTGATGTTTATATATACACATGTTTTGTGAAGCTTGTTAGAATGAATATTTGTAAGATTTTTTTGAGATTGTATTGAACAGGTGAAATGGAGTAAGAGCAGTGCTAGGTTTTTATTCTTGGCAACTTCGTTTGACAAAACTCCTTTAAGTTGTATTTGTTTTCGCACTTTTTTATTTCAGTGAGACTATGAGTGTTTAGATGCGAATCCAACCCGAATTATGCCTTGTAGAGAAGTTTGTGATGTTAATTCTTTCAAGATTGTCACTTTGCTGATTATGACGGGGATCGAGCTGCCCGGTCAGCTCGCGGGGGTCGAGGGGGCAACGCCCCTTGGTCGGTTCGGGGCAGCGCCACGGCGGGGTCGAGGGGCAGTGCCCCCGAAGCAAAATGCAAAAATGCATTCAAAGTTGCCTCCCCGCTCGAGCGTCCATTCCCCTTCTCGAGCGGAGAATACTGAGTTCCAGAAGTTTGGTGAGTCTGCAAAAATACTGTGATCCGTGTTTTCCCGCTCGAGCGTCGAAATCCCCGCTCGAGCGTACATCCTGGTTTGGAACACGTCATATAGTGTCCCTGCTCGAGCGTCAATACCCACGCTCGAGCAAACCTCGCGATTTCAGATTCTATAAATTGACAAGTTGCTCCAAATTTAGGATTACTTCTCCAGATCTTCTTCTTGGGTTCTAGGGTTTATATCTGTGGATATTTTGCTAGTTTTCTTTAATGTTTTGATTGATTATTCAACTCATGGTTTAAAGAGTATACATCAAAGGATTATTTGTTTGTTCTACACAAAAGAGAGAGTTGCTCTTCAGTGGATTCTGAAGAATTCGAGCCTGAAGCTTTGGTGGATTCTGGAGTGGCTCGTCATCAAGACAATTCTGAGGTGAAGACGGGATTGGAAGAGGCACATAGGGGTTGGTTCAATTCGGGCGTGGATTCGCTAGGTAATTGAGAGTATACCTGTGTAATTCCTTTATGTCTTTTTAGTGGATTGTTTTGTAGCTTTTGCCTATGGTTTTTTTTTTTTATCACAATTGGAGGTGTCCAATTGTGGTTTTTCCACATAAAATCGTTGTGGCGATTTGTCTTGATTGTTTGATTGGGATTGTTATATACTGCTTAAAATTGATACATAAATCACAAATCAACATCCACGGCAAGGAAACACACTTTTGGCGACTAAAATATTAGTTGCCAAAAGTGCTGATTTTAGTCGCCAAAAGGCTTTGCCGACCAAATACTTTGGTCGCTGGCTTTGTCGGGGATACATTGTCGCCGGAGGTATTAGCGACTAAAGAACATTTAGTCGCCAAAAGTACTACAATATTACCGATTAACACCTTAGTAGGCAAAACTAACAGCTATTAGCGACGAAAATAGTATTAGTCGCCGATGACTCACATTAGCGACCAATAGATTAGTCGCCCAAAGGGTCTATTAATTTGTTTAACTCACTTCTTTAGCTACTAAATATTTTGTCGTGAAAACTGAAAATCTTTACGGCGACGAAATCTTTTGTCGCCAATACTATTATTTCAGCTACTAAATCTGTAGTCGCTGAAAGGGTCACTGTTGTTTGGCTACTAAACTTCTTAGTCGGCTATGCTTTTTTATTATGTTTTGGCGACTAAAAATGTTGTCGCCAAAAGTGTTTTTCATTTTTTTTGGCGACTAAATTTGTTGTCGCCAAAAATGATTTGATTTTTAGCTACTAAACAGTTAGTCGCCAAAAGTGTTTCGAGTTGTTTTAGCTACTCAATATTTAGTCGCCAAAAGTGTTTCAATTTGCTGTAGCTACTAAATATTTAGTCGCCATAAGATTTATTTCTTTTTTAGCTACTAATTGTTTTGTCACCAAAAACCTCATTTTATATTTTTATTTTGTTTTTTGCATTTTAATAAATTTTGTTAGAACCTATATCCACCAAAACCTGTAATAGGTATACAACCTATATATATTATCACCTATTCTGTAATACATGTTTCACTTACAACCATCAAACAAAAAAGAACACCTGCTAATGTAAACTTATATAGAAACCAATATATATATTTCAATTACAAATAATAACGTCATACATTCCAAATACGTTACCAAAACAATGTCCTTACACAACATTTTTACTGTACTACGCATTGTAATGACCATTTGCCAAGGTACAAATTACCATGGTAATATGTACCATGACAAAAGGTAATCTATGTATATACCACCTGAGCAATTAATACATGTGGAGCAACAGCAAATGTGAATGATCTATGTACCCCGTCATTGATTCCATAAGAATAGAGAAATTAATAGAAGCTCCAAAAATACTATGTACCCCGTCAAAAATTATATGTACGATTGGTCCACAGTCCACACAAAAAGTATAGGGCGACAAAAAGCTTCCGAAATTTGCAAAACTGTGAATGATCTTCCAGACAAAGAAATAGAAGATCCACATGTCAACGCTAAAAGCCATCTACACAACCAAAATTACACCCATTAGTTCCATTGTAAACAAAAAGTTATAACCATCTACAAAACACAAATTGCAAGGATGTCAATTGTAATTGAAATTGTATTTAACTATAGTTTGAATTTAGGAATTTCAATATACTTTCTTTACACTTTAAATTGTATTCAAAGTGTACATTTAAAGTGCAAAGAAACTTCCCAAGTCAAGCATGAGCCCGAAGTCAAGTTTAGTCTAATGTGTGAATATATATGTATTTTATTCATAAATATACATATATAGAGATGCTTATACAACATATATTTTTGTAAGCTTTAATATATGCCATCACAATTTCATCAAAAAGTGGTAAAAAAGAGAGGTTCAAAGCAAATGCTAACAATAGAAACAATTTAAATATTGCAATAGAAACTAGTCAACACTTGTGGTAAATGTCAAGTTTCTTATCTTTTAACTTCGGAAGTCAATATAAGCTTTAATATATTTTTTGTGTAGCTTTATAGCATTTCAGGGGCTGCTTTCATTTTTCGGCCCTCGAAGGCCCTTTTTCGGCTAAGTTTATGGCATTTTCCACGACAACTCCCAACGTACACGTGCTAATTACGTCCCATCTTTCCCCACAGGTCCTATTTGACACAACGAAGCTACCCGTGCCATCCCTATAGTGGTTCGGGGGCTGCTTTAATTTTTCGGCCCTCCAAGGCCTTTTTCGGCTAAGTTTATGGCCTTTTCCACGACAACTCCCAACGTACCCGTGCTAATTATGTCCCGTCTGTCCCCACAGGTCCTATTTGACACAACGGAGCTACTTGTGCCATCCCTACACTGGTTTGGGGGCTGGTTTCGTTTTTCGGCCCTCCAAGGCCTTTTTTCGACTAAGTTTATGGCCTTTTCCGCGACAAATCCCAACGTACCCATGCTAATTACGTCCCATCTGTCCCCATAGGTCCTATTTGACACAACGAAGCTACCCGTGCCATCCCTACATTGATTCGTGGGCTGCTTTCATTTTTCAGCCCTCGAAGGCCCTTTTTCGGCTAAGTTTATGGCATTTTCCACGACAACTCCCAACGTACACGTGCTAATTACGTCCCGTCTTTCCCCACAGGTCCTATTTGACACAACGAAGCTACCCGTGCCATCTCTACAGTGGTTCGAGGGCTGCTTTAATTTTTCGGCCCTCCAAGGCCTTTTTTCGGCTAAGTTTATGGCCTTTCCACGACAACTCCCAACCCAAAATTGTTGTCCACTAACAGACCCCAAACCTCTTCTCTCTCAAACTCATTACTATGAACCAATCATGGCTTTCATGCATTTTAGACCAGTCAAGTTGTACTAGTTATATTGTACTAAATCAAAATTCATTCCAATTTAATTGCCTGCTGCAATTAGTCTTGAATTTGAAATGGCATCCAATTGGATATCACTGCTAATATAGTAACTGGCCTCATATTCATAGGCTCATCGTATTTGCTTTTACAAAACTTCATATTTCATTAAAATCATGTGGTTACCTTATGGAAATCAGGTTACGGTCCTTTGTGTAATGTAGTAAAACACCACGTCGGCTGCTGCATAATCTACTCACTTTATGCCTCAAAACCTATTCGAAGCACATAACAAAAACAAAATTTGCATAGCAACTTTAGAAAAGAATTCCATGTGAATATGCTCCATATTTTTTGTAGAAGTTGAACTAGCTTGTCAAACAAAATTTTGTTTACCGAATAGTAGGATGACCATCTGAACCCTCCAAGAGGGTTGTGAGCTGGGACACCACGTTGTTCAAATGATTGAGTTGTACTTGTGGTGCCTCCCGTGATTTTTTTTCTTCATTGACTTGTTTGATCAGCTGCTCTCCTCTTTCCCTCGTAATTTCCTCCCAATCTCTTTGCCGCTCCTCTTTCTCCTTCAATAGCTCCTCCCGATCTCTTTGCGGCTCCTTTTTCTCCTTCAATAGCTCCTCCTGATCTCTTTGACGCTCCTCTTTCTCCTTCAACAACTCCTCACGATCACTTTGACGCTGCTCACGAAGAACCTCCACTTCCGCTCTCATTGACTCCATATGTTTATCATGTGCTCGTGCCGCACTAGAAGCTGTGGAAGAGGGTTGTGGGCCTATCCCACATCCATGCAAGTAATGTTTTTTTTCCCCAAGCACTTGCCTTGATATTTCTTCGTGGGTCAATGGCAACCCCGCATCGGTGGCTGTTACTTGTAGATTCACCATATCAATCATCCATTACATTACTAAATTAACTTCTCACCATAAGCGACATTGCTATAGGAAATGACCGCGATCCACTTGTATGATTATAGGGGAGCATACCCCTATTTGCTTTACCAGCTCTTGAGCGTTTCTAAAAGAATAGGAACGTGTCAGCATAAATAAATAAAAAACAGATTAGTGAACAATTTTTACATATTAAAACATAAATTAATTTCAATAACGGAGTTTCTAATTAATTTGTTACCAAGTGAGATTCATCTTTCCAAGCAACATCAATCATATATTTCCAGTCCTCCAAGCTCACTCCACTAGGCGGATGACTATAGGGGTCATCAACACCCTTTTCCTCAAGTTCGAGGAACTCTTGCTTTAGATTGTACCTCCAATCCTTATATAGCAAATATGCCTTTCTATCGAGGATCTGTTGCGCTTGTTCATCATTATCAAAATCATCGCCGATAACAAACTTGTCCTACAAACATAACAAGAGAATTAGTACAACAATTAATTTATGCAATTACAAATAGGGCAATAAAGACATTATGGCAAGATGATTCTCATACGAGCACTGCTTGGATCCACATCTTTGGTAGGTTGATCAATTTTTCTCCATGACTTCACGCACTGAAGAGGGCACAACCGTCTGATTTGAAGGCCCAACTCATTCGTCGCTGGGGTGGCATTCCCTCTTGTGATTGTGTTCAACACCCGATTCACATAGACATGTAACTTCTCCCCCTTTCTCCTAGTAATTTTTTTCTGCACTCCTTTGCCTAATGTTGGTCCTCGTACACGAGTTGACCTCGTTTGCCTTGGTACAAAAGGGGAATGAGTCACAAATTACAAACATTGCTAATGAACTTCAAAAAAAAAGATGCTGGTTGTGGGTCCTGTTAGTTTTTTCGCTGCCCACTGTTGCGGGCGGCAAAAGTTTCGCTGCATAAAGTCAAACATAAATTATGCTACAACTTCGATTTTGAAGCTATCGATGCAGCTTACTACTAAGTTAAATGCTCTTACCCACTCAACCTGGTTGCGTCTCGTCTACCACTGTTTGTGTATCATCTGGTGGTTGCGTCTCATCAGAGAACGTCAGCGGGGTGCCAATCTCCTGTGGACATGCTTCAGAGGCTGATAATACGTTGCCACTTGTTGCTCTCTTCTGCCGCCCCGTCTTGATTCCAGGAACCATGATACCTACATTACGTAACAAACGTACATGAATAATTATTCCTGATAGATCTTTTGCATTACAAAAAGTCTACTTGCACATAAATAAAAGACATAAAGATTCCAACAAGCAAAGAGGAGCAACCAGAAACACTTATTACACTCTCTAACAGATTCCATGACAAACACAAAAAGATAAGAGTTAACAGTTAAGAGTCCACGTCAAAGTCCTGGACTAATATGGGTGGCTTAATTTGTGATGCGTTGAAAAAAAAAAAAACTACTAAAATTTTGAAGAAACATTTTTTCTCCATCATTTATTATTTAAATTATGCTACGGTTTGGTTAGCATACATGTTGACTTGTTAAGATTCAGCCATGATTCTATAAATTAGTTTAAACGTTGCTTGTTTCAAACTATCTTAAACTTTTTACTATAACGTGTCAAAACCTACATTAAACTTTTTACTATAACATGTAAAAACATGCACAAATGTAATAACAGAGACAGTAGCAATTTTACACTGATCACTTTTGACATTTTTAGCTATAGAAATGGGGCTGGTGCCGAATTTCAGAATAAGATTAAAGTTCGACATTAATGCTCAAATGTAAACTGCTATTGGTTACTACTAATTGTGATTTTTGGTTATGGAGCATTGCTGGTTATAATTAAAGTTAATCTTCAATTATGCTCTAAAGTGGTGTTAACTATAACTTTAATATGACTATGACCAATAGTTCAGATTTACTCTTTTAGTTCAATTGCTATGGTCAATCACACTTTCCTTGTGTTTTTCATTGTACATGTCAGCTCCATTCTAGTTTTCTTCTCATATACTTGTGATTTTTGTTTTTTGTGCTGTCTTAGTTTAGACTTTTCTTCTCAACGATTCGTAGGATAACCTTTTCTTGCCTCCAAGTTGCCACCAAAAATTACACTTTTGACTCTTGTAAATCATCATGGCAGTGGATTGGGATTTGGGATCTCTGTTTCATGGTAGATCAGAGTCCCTTCCTTGGCATCCAATCATCCTTAAACTCTAATTCTAAAGATGTCAGGGGAATTTGAGAGTCCAATTAAAGTCATTTTAAAATAGGAAGAAGTTTTTTGAAATTCGGCTCGAGCCCCATTTCTATAACTACAAATGATTTGTTCAAGTCAGACTAAGATTAAAGTTCGAAGAAACTAATGAGAAAAAAGAAACAAAACAGTACCAATTTGAGATCAATTTATCAATATAATTGTAGAGAGAGAAAAACAGGACAAGAGATAATCACAACTAGTATTACCCAAATTGAAGTTTAAAAAAAATGCCGAATTGTAACACAGGTTTAAGAGTGCCCTTAAAGAGACATAAGTTTAAGAGACATAAACTAGGAGCCCTGCACTGAATTTTAACACTAGTTTTCTTTCAATCCTTTTTAACACAGGTTTAAGAGACCTAAGTTTACAGCAAATCGTAAACATAAGAGAGCCTTGCACTGAGTTGCACCAGATCAGTAGGAAGAAATTCTTGGTGATCAGCCCAGAAACTGACTTATTTAAAAGATTTCTTAGACCTAGCCATTTTTGAATGACTTCTCAAAATGTGCATGGTCTCAGCATAAAGAAAACCAGCAGCAAATGTGAGTGTTCATGTGAGACTATCATCCCAATGTGTTCAGTATGAAACTTAATGCCTCTAGACTACTTTTTTTTTTTTTTTAAATGTGATATTCAACAGGTGAGAATTATCACTTCCAAGTTTTTCTTATTTATTGATGTCAATATCTGAAACAAAGAGAAGGAAACACAGGCTATTAAATCAAAAGGCAACAAGAGAACTTCACAAGATATTAAGTTTGTGGAAGTTAGGAATTAAGAGATTTATTAGTTTAATTTGCTATAACTTGCTGGCACATGTGAAGATTGCAAGTTTATTCAAGAAGTTGTTTCTATCAGATAAAGCATTAAAATAAATAAATAACTAAATTTAACTCCTTTTACTTTAGTCTCGTTTCCTATCTTTTTTTATTTCATTTTGCTTTCCCTCAATAAATGTAAGATCCAAACATGGCCTAAAGTTATTTTAAGGATTCTATAAACTATAGAAAGGCAAAGCACAATAAAGAAAAATCACAACCTTGAAATATCAGTCAAAGCACAGAAGAACATTTGCAAACTTATATAAATATCTAAACAATGAAAAAAAGATGCAAATTCAATATGAACCTTAGGTAGAAGTACCTATTACTAAAGATTCAATAAAGTCAATATTTCTTTTCTCAACTCAAGATACTCTGCACATACAGTTTTGGTTGGAACCTTTGGCTTGAAATTAACCTGTGAAAGGAAAGGGCATGATTGCTTATTAAGAAGCATTTTAAGGGAAGAAAATGTGTATGAAGTGACACCATAAGATAGCAAATTCTGAAACATCATCATTTCATATTCAAAAACATCTAATGAAGAACAATATGTTTATTATTTCCTGAAAATTTAAAAAGTATGTTAGGCTTTGGAGCAATAAGGAAACACAAAAAGGAGAAGTATCTAAAGCTTAAGTTACACAAAAAGGTGCACCTCAAGCAAGCTAACTTGAGCAACTCAAGTTATAACTCTCACTATAGTATAATACGTGTAACACCAACAATTAAAGCAGCTATGTGATAATGTGATTCATATCTATGGAACACACTCATTATGTTCATAGTATCATCATTGGGCATATTGTCAAACACATCGTGAGTAAAATATAGAAATTGATTTTCAACCGTAAAATAATTAATTTAATTACAAGGATTGATTGTTCCTTCTAAGTAGAAACCAAACCGAACAAGAAAAAAGTCAAGCAAAAAAACCTCCCCAAAGAATCAAAACCTCAAACTACCATTATTTGGAATATTCCATGAAAACCAAACACCCCATAGACCTATTAAACTGCACCCATCAACCATCACCAACATCAACCAAAACATGAACAATTCACCATTCTGATCCTTGTGTGATATGTGATGTGATCAATTAAAATCTCACCACCACATGGTTTAAAAAAAGGTGTAACTAATTGCTTCTCCAGAGCCCCCAAGAAAAGATCTGCTCAATCAGTAAGAGCCTGAAAACATGTTTGGTCGCCCATTGCTCTTTTGGGATCTTAGAGAGAGCAGAGTAAAAGAAAAGAAAAGAAAAGAAAAGAAAATGTTTGGCAATAGCATCCTTTCCATAGCAATTTTCTGAATTTCGCCATTTGTTTCTTTTTGCCCCAAGTTCTTCCCAAAAGAAGCCCCATAATATTTGTTTTATCTCCTCATTGTTGATACCATCTTGCTTAACAAGACCAGTGTTACTTTCATTTGAAGCTCTTACCACAATCTAAATTGGGCAGCAAAATGTTCAAATATAGACATCTAAATTCAATGTCAACTTTTTTGTTTCAAAACCCTAGACCCGTTCAATCGTATTGACCTTGACACGAATCCAGGACTTTGGGAGAAAGGCTTGCTTTTCTGAACCCCGAAAGATTCCTATTACATACCCAAACAAAATCCTAAATCAGGTGTCTTGCCTAGTGCCAAAATTCTACTCAAAGTTACACAAACAAGAACTAAATGAAAATTTGAAAATGAAAATTCGCGAAGACACCCTGAAAGTTTTTTCTGCTAGTATGTTAAACATCCAATGAAGAAAATTTCCAATTTAACCATCACTGATTTAACTTGAGACTTTTACACCCCACCATGAAAAAATTTCTTCACCCTTGCTCCCTCTATAAACATCACCATCAAATAAAAAACACCATCACTAACATCATCCGCTCTTTCCTATCATAACCATATATATATATATATATATACACATACCCATATCAGACATGATGCCTCAATTTTTTTCGAAACTAAAAATACAACTGCTACAATGAAGGAAAATTCGACTAAGAGGACACTTGGCAACTAATAGTGTCAGAATATGCCAAAAGAGAAAGAAGAAAAATATTGTAACTACTAAATACATTCAACAGATGCAAAAAATATTAAGACTACATTACTTAACACTGCTAGAAAATTTATGATTGCTATGACAGAGATTATTACACTGTACACCCACAACTCGTCTCTATTCTTACTCATGGATATGTAAAATGTAAACAAAATCATAAACCGCCAATATATGATGCTACCCAACTCAGTTTTGTCATTTATTCTAATAATTGAAATTCCTAATGATATCACAGCACATACAGTATACCATCTGCAGTCCTTTGTGCATACATACCTGTACCTATTCTCTCATTTGCACGCTATAATGTTCACAAGCAGCACTATACTGTCCTATTATGTTATGTAGATACATGTACTGATTCTGGATTATCACTAGAGTGGAGGCATGAAGAAATATATTGTTGATTGTGTTACAAATTTATCCTTCACTCAGATGAAACGATCACCGCTGTTGTCACCTGCATTACTTTGTTTCAAACTAAGATTGGTGGAAGCCCTCAACAAATATAAAATGATGAAATTACATGCACTCAAATTGGTATACCTTTTGCGCTTTCTCTTCAAGACTGTAGAACTGGAAGAATTGATGTGCCAATTCCTTTTCCTCTGAGTAATGAACCAATTATTTATCTGTTTCAATTGCAACCCTGTTTCCTGGACCAATCTTGCCTTGTGTTCCTCCTGAAGGAACAACAGTTAACCACGGTGATTTAGAAAAACTCTAATTCTTGCAGAAAATTTACAGTTGTGCTTCTCAAATTAGAAAAACTTACCCATTAGTTCTATATATACCCTACAAAATTTGAAACTAATAGCACAAAAGCAACCCATTCAAAGCCAAAGGTCATTGTGCTTCTCAATCATGAAAACTTACAGTTGGGTACAGCCACTTAGAATGTGATTGCCACCAAGCCTTTAACATAGACGTCGTATCACTAGGGACCTATTATATATATATATATAGGGTTAGTTTCGAATATTCCTAAAACAGAGGCACATTGCTCATATAGTTCAACAATCCACAATGGAGAATCAGAAAGCAGCAATCCGAAATTTTAACCAAACCCAATAATGAAATCAGAAAAAGCCCTAAACATTGTTTGCGAAATCAATGGAAACTGAAAGAAAAAAAAAACATTTAAAAACCCTACAGTAGAATGGGAGACACAGCGAGGAAGCGACCCAGAGCGACAGAGAGGGAGAGAGACGAGAGAGAAATACCTGATAGATTGTCGTGGGGCCGATTTGCAGTGGTCATGGTGGCCAACGCCGGTGGCCAGCGACGGTGATGATCGGCGGTCAGGTTTGCTATCGACTGCTGGTGTGTGAGGTAATATATGTGTGAGAGAAAACAGGTCCGAAAATGTGTCCGTGAGATATATATATTGGGCGCGAATATTTAGTCGATTTCCCTCTAAATTTTTTTTCGAATATTTAGCGACTAAAGCATCATTTGTCGCCAAACATCATTAACAGCGACCAAACATTAGTCGCCAAAAGCACCTTATTTGGCTACTAATTCCAATTTTTGGTCGGCAATGTTTTACTATACAGCGACTAACCTAGTTTTGGTCGCCACAAATCCATTAAAAATACTCCATCTTTGGGCGACAAATTTTTTTGGTCGCAAAATGGTGGAAAACAACGACTAAAACTAAGTTTAGTCGCCAATAATTACATATGGCGACGAAATTAATTTAGTAGCTAAAAACATTAAAAAAACACCGACTAAATTAGGTTGTTTGTCGCCCAATATGGTGCTTTTGGCGACTAAAATTGGTTTTGGTCGCCAATTTTGGTTGCCAATTGTGCATTTTGTTGTAGTGATCTAAGGGATTTCTAGATTTTTCAATTGGTATCAGAGCAGGTCGCTCTTTTTTTTTGTTTTACAAATCTATTAGAGCGAGATCTTGTTTGATTTGTGATAATGGATATAATTCGTGAGGGAAATTCTATGGTTCGACCACCCCTACTTGACGGATCCAATTATTCTTTTTGGAAAGCTCGGATGAGATCGTTTTTGAAATCTCTAGATGAAAAAGTTTAGCAATCTGTTACCGTTGATGGAGTAACTTTCCCCAAACCAATTGATAAGTGGGACACAATTGATTACCAAAATAATAGCTGGAATAGTAAAGCTGTCAATTCTCTCTTTTGCGCTATCACACCTGAAGAGTTTAGTCGTATTTGCAATTGTGAAGTGCAAAAGAGGCTTGGGATATCTTACAAACTATTTATGAGGGCACTCCTTCTGTTAAATGCTCAAAACTTCAAAGGCTCATGTCTAGTTTCGAAAACCTTTCAATGAAAGATAGTGAGACCTTTGATGAATTTTATGCGAAGTTGAGTGACATTATAAATTCCAGCTTCAATTTAGGTGAAAAAAAACCAGAATCCAAAGTTGTGGGAAAAATTTTGAGATCCTTGCCCGATTGGCTCCAACCAAAAGTTACGACTATTGAGGAGGCTCAAGATGTTGACAACCTCAAGCTGGATCACTTGGTTAGTTACGGCTATTAAGGAGGCTCAAGATATTGACAACCTCAAGCTAGATCACTTGGTTGGAAATCTCCAAACTTATGAGGCACATAGGAATTTCAAAAAGAAACAAAAAGATATTGCTTTTAGTAGTGCTCATAGAGTTGGAGAGGATTCTGATGAGGATTGTGAGATAGATTCCAAGATTACGGCTGCTTTTGTTAAACAATTTAAAAAATCTTTTTTGAAAAAGAATCCTAATATTTTGGAATCTACTCATACTCATAAATCTAAAGGCAAAGCTAAACTCAAAATTAATTCTATAGCCAATAAGGAGAAATGAAAGATACATGGGAACTCTAAAAGAGTTCAATGTTATGAATGCCAAGGATTTGGCCACTTTGCTTCAGAATGCCCCACTCGTTTGAAGAAGAAAAAAGCCCTCGCCATCACTTGGGATGATGAATCAGAATCTGATGAAGATGAAAGTGACAACGACGATCAAGGCGAAGAGGGACATAAACAATTCCTTGCTTTCATGGCGGCTTCCGAAACTGAAGGACAAACAGAGTATCTAAAGAGCCCGGTTGAGAATGCCACTGATGATGAATTCTCGGGAAGTGATGATGAAGAGCTTGAGCAAGCTTATGAAAAGTTGTATAAGGAGTCTGTTAAGTTATCCAAGTTGAATGACAAACTCACTATGAAACTCAAAGCATGTGAAAGTGAGAATGTCAAACTAAAGTAGGAGATTTCTGAGGCTAGGATTGATGCCATCAAGATAGCTAATGATCGACAAGCTCTTTGTGCAAAACTCTTGACTTGTGAGACAGAGAGGAATGAGCTACAACAAATCTATGCAACATATGAAGAAAAAATTGAAACTCTCGAGATGTCTCAAGTTGCTTTGGAAGAACTAATGATCAAGAAAGAGGAAGAACTCAAGTGTGCTATGGCTACCATTGGTCTTTGGAACAAAGGATCAAAGACTTTGGACAATATCATTGGGTCTCAACAAATTTGTTCTGACAAGAGTGGCATTGGCTTTGGTGATAACAAAGAGCAAAAATAGAGTGCATCTACATCTCATGATACAAGAACTCAAGGAAAGGGAGAACAGAAAATTCAACATAAGGATGGACTTCTCAAACTTCCTAGAGTTGGTAAGGTCAAAGAAAAGAAGCTACACCCTGTACACCCTGTGTTTATTTGTCATTATTGTGGTATGCATGGTCATATTCGCCCTTATTGTTATGAGTTGCATGGGAGAGTGTCTCATAGAGATGGAAGAAATTCCAACATCTCGTGGGGTAGGAGACACTTTATTGGTAGTAAAGACGTTAAAGGTCATATTAGACCTCGTTATTTTGATCAGCTTGAGACCAAACTTGGAGCGAGTTTGAATTTTCCTAGACCTAGACATAGGAAGTTGGAAACCAAGTCGTGACGGGTTCCCATTGAACAGGAAGGGAACCACAACGTCAAGACATCACCCAAGAACCGCAATTCTCACAACTTTGTTTGTACTGAAGCAGTTTGGGTGAGAAAACTTAACTTGTGTTAATTTGCTTTGTCGCTTTAGTTTTTGAGTTTCTATGTTTTTTTTTTTGTCATTAAATGTGTGGTTGTTCATTTTTTTGTCTTGCTTTATTTTTGAAAAAAAAAAACACAAAAAGATTTTCTTAGTATGGTTTTGCAAGCTTGAAATTTTTAAGTGGTCCTTGGTGCATATTGGAATTGATAAGAATATCCATTACATGTTAATATGTGTGTGCTTTCTGTGGTCATTACTCATTTTGGAGTGTGTGTTTTTTGATTAGTATGTCTCATTTTGTACACACTCTTGGATTAGCAAATATCGGAGTCTTCCGCCTTAGTGATTATTTTTTTTTTTTGGACTTCCGGCATGGTATCTTTTGTTTTTCTAGAGGAATTGACCGATACTAGCATATCTTAGGTGATGTTGAGTCTCTTCACCACCTTCCATCTTATTGCATCTTTACGGCTTTCCCCTTTATTCTTTTTAGTCCAGCCATGAGGAAAATGATACCTCAGAGTCACCAACCAGGCCATCATTATTATATCCATGCTTCTCTGGTTTAGTTTCCATACTCTTGAGCGTGTCAGCCGCCAATGAGTGTGCAAAGGAATAAGAAAAAGAAAAAGAAAAAGGAAAAAAATGTGCAAAAGAAAGAAAAGAAAAAAAGATGTGAAAAAAAAAGGAAAAAATAAAGGATTCATTGATTGAGGGAGAGCCTCCGCCTTTACTCACCAAATATCCCTTGATTCCCAGTGTTTTGACTTTTCTTAGTTGTGCTTAGATTCTCTTGTCGGAGGTCCAGCTATCAGATCACTACTAGGATTTGAATCTTGTGTTTGTCGAACTCCAAGAGTCACACACACACTTTTTATTATGGGATCTATGCTTTTCACACAATGCATCACTTTCTTGCATGAGGAATCTTCTAGAGGCTGTGCACATTGTGTTTTCAAGTAATTGTGCTTCTTGGATAGTCTTGTGTGTTTTAAGGTACTAGTCTGAAATTCCCTGCCTGCTCTACCATATTATTTTTGTCGTTTTCTTTTTGCTCACTGTTTTCTGTGTTTGTGGTTGCTTTTAGTGAGGGGGAGTTTGGTTTATCATTGCAAGAGTTTGTTAGCATGAACACTTTGATCATCATGTCATTGCTTGTGTGGTTTCTGATCTTGGTTTAGTTGATTGAGCTTCTTTTGTCAATTCACGACAAAAAAGGGAAGTGATGTTGTCCGGTGCATGTGTCTTAGGATTTCATGCATTCATGTCTTAGGATTTCAAGTTTTCATGCCATGGGTCGGTCGGGTGCATGTGTCTTAGGTTTCATCTATTCATGCTACATGTTTTTAAAATCTCCAAGTCGCATTTATTTGTCATATGTTTATTGTTTTTTTCCTATACTCTTGTGGGGCTAATAGTTGTTTTGGAGAGTGTGGCACTAATAACTATTTTGCAGATCATGACCTTGAGAAGGAAGTTGGCTTTTGTTGGCTATAATGGGTTGGGGTGATTAGGATTTTATTTGTTAGGTGTGTTTTGTCACGGCATTGCCAAAGGGGGAGATTGTTAGGTTTTATTTCTTGGCAATCCCGTTTGACAAAACTCCTTTGAGTTGTAATTTTATTCGCATTTTTATTTCAGTGAGGCTATGAGTTGTTAGATGCGAATCCAACCCGAATCAAGCATTTCAGAGAAGTTTGTGATGATAAAGCTTTCAAGATTGCCACTTCGCTGATTATGACGGGGATCTAAAAATGAAAGTTGGGGGCAACGCCCCTTGGCGGGTCCGGGGCAGCGCCACGGCGGGGTTGAGGGGCAGCGCCCCCGAAGCAACATGCAAAAATGCATTCAAAGTTGCCTCCCTGCTCGAGCGTCCATTCCC